AAACCGACCAATGCCATCTTTATAAGTGCACTTTACTATCTTTTTTTAAACAAAAACGAAGCTATGTTTGAGAAAATTTTTAAAATCTCCCAGGGGCTTTATGTACCTCAAAACATTAAAACTTATTTGCCAAATCGCAGCCCTTCGAGTCGAGTCAGATCGACCGGGGAATATTCATTTCGGAAAAAATCTTAGGTATGGTTCAGATGCTAGTATTGTTCACAGATTGACAGCTGAAGGGAGTTTTTTTTTTAAGAAAAAAGAAATGTTTCCGGTATCAGAGACCCCCAAAACGTGTATTTCCATTGAAATCTCGAAATCGATTTTCCGCAGCAAACATAACATTCCCCACACTTCGTATACGGAAAAGTAAAAAACCAACATTTAACTATAAATAATCACTTCTCTCACGAAATATAAACATTTTCCCCCTCGATCTCATAAAACCCTCGTTAAATTTTCAACTCTACTCATCTATACAAACTTCCATCTAATCTAACCCTCATCCTTGTGTCAGAAAGTCTTTTGACATGGTGACGTCACGTTTCTCCCGATGTCTTAAGAAAAGACTAACTCACGCACGCGCAGCTTTTCGGAAAATCCCCAATTTTTATACGAAGGTAAAAATGGCCTTTTGAGATTCCTGTCTTGACAATATCAGCGAACGGTGAATTTGACTGCTTTGGTGGCAGCCCTGGAGGTAGTCATGCGTCCGGCTGTTCTAGTGTTACTGACAATGTACCCACACGATATTAACAGTATCAGGTTTCTGATATTATTTTCATTGTCATCGACGGGTCCCTGAGAATTTAAATGGGGGTCATTTCCAGCTCAGAAGAATGTGCTTAATAATTAACAATTATTGAATCGTTTGTTCTTTACTCTTTACAAAATACATCTCGATTTTCAGACGTCGGTGTAAACTTATTCTCATAATAATGCAAGAACATGTCGAGAGCAATTATCACGCCAGTACACTCAGCGTGGCGTACACAATAAATCTACTATCAAAACCAACTTGATTTTTGAAGTCGAACTTTAATGACTGATTAGTGATTCTGGGCGCGTAAACAGCTAAGATCATTAGTCCCGTAAGTAGGAATTATTTTTTTCTTGGAAGTGGCGGGGATCTTTCCCTGCTGGATGGCGAGACCCGGCGCCGATCGGCTTGCGGGAATTTTCCCCAACTAGATATCTCCCAGCAGCATGGCACCGGTCCAGCCAGGACCAGTTCTAAGCTCACGACTGGTCTCCGACCAGTGTGGTAGCGTAGTGCATGTGAGAAACTAAGGAGGGGATAAAACATGGAAGGAGAAGGAAAGATCGCGCGCGGTCCGTGGCACGTTTGTTAGGGTACTGCTCCGGCGTCCGCCTGGTGTTAATTGGACAAACCATGGAAAACTACTGATCACAGCAGTCGGCCTCTAGAAGTCTCCTCCAGACAGCGGCTGAATTCGAACTAACTATGAAGCTAGTGTCGAAAATTCTGCCACCGTCGGGGCTCGAAACCTAAGACTGGGAAGAGAAACTGCAGTGACATCAATCGATGCCCTGAGCTTCCTTTGTCGATGCGAACTTCAACATTATTGTTTTACGAATTTCCATATAATCGAATGTTAATGTACAGAAAATGTAATTAGCACTTAGCACGCCTTTTTAGTTTCTCGTATACGTACGTATATTTTTACCCGGTTGGTTGGCATTGTTAACAGTGCGACGTACACTCAAGTCGTTGGCACAATATACTCAAAATAAATAAGTTTTTAATCAAAGTGCAGTTTCTTATGCTTCTATGGACTTTCAATTTTGGGGAATTAATACACAGAAAAATCATTCTGATTGCGGAAAAAGTCGGGTTGAATGTCTTGAGAGAGTAAGTAGAATTAAAAGTGTGCGTGTTTACCAACTCCGATGTTTCCCACAAAACTGTACATAGAATAGATTTGTGCGCACAAACCCATTCACCGTTCACGTTTAACTACCAATCCGTGTCGTCAAGAAAATCAAGAGACGGTTTTTGTCCGTTACCCAAGGGATGTGTCAACAGATGCTCGTGATTACCTGGACGGGTGCAAAGGGCACGGCCAATACCTTCTGCTACTACAGGCCTCACAACTACGTCATTTGCTGCTTGTGACGTAAGAGTATGCAGGCCGACTATGACCATGTACGACAGTATCTTGCTTTAGTTTATGCTATGATAGTATTAGAGCTTTCTTCTGTGCCGTGGTTATCGATACCTTTACTGCACTTAAAATCCAGAATATGAATTTTTAATGGTGAGACTTTACATGTCGGGGAGATTATGAATCGAGACGGGGAACCGAGCATCGGTGTTTTCGTTTCCGGCTGCGAAAGAAATGGACATGCGTCAAAAGAAGGTTTCTACCAAATCAGCATCCCAAGGTAAGAAAACGTTTCTAAATGATTTCAGCACAATAATGTGGTAACTATTTAAAATAAATGACTAGGGGTGGAATATTTTAGTATGCAAATCTCAATTATGAATTATAAACAGCCAAAGACTTCCTTATCAATCCAAAACGTTTCGTCTAGTTTCTCTTGACTTTTTGAGCAAATGCTGATTCGGTCCCTTGTTTTTCGTCTAGAAAGTAAATGTAGCATTCGTCCCTCAAAGTCACGTTCAGTTTCATCGGTTGTTTTTGCATGAAATAAATGAATCTTAAGATTAAATCTCAGCGTGATCCCAGGTTATGAAGTTATGTTTGATTATTTTACGGTCACGATCAACATATTCTGAAAACGATTGCAAGGAAAATAGAAATGAACAAGGTTCACTAACTGCTCGGATTAATAATTGTATTACGAATTAACCAAAAAAGTTTTAACAATCGTCATTATTTCTGAAGTTCATTAACTTTTTGTAGTTTTACGAAGTTAATTTTTGTGCAGAGAATATCCAACGAATTATTGAATTCTTTGAAGAAAATACAAAGAAACTCCAAGCATCACTAAGAAAACCGAAATTAAAAGATGCGGTGCCATCAACATTTCGAATTGTCCTAAATATTTATCTTCAGCAGTATCTAGAGAAAGTGTAGAAGAACGAGAAAGATTGGGAGAATCAAAATTTGCAACATGAAATTGATGACGGCCTTACAATGAAAGCGAATGCAAGAACAACTTCTGAGTTGAAAATTGTCAGAATCTGATCATCAAACAAGTCAGTGTGTTTTATTGAGACAATTCATTGTTTGGGGATAGTAAAATGCCAAATTTTAATTAGTGCAAGAAAAATAGCTTTTCTACTGTAAATGATTTGTTTTTATTAGTTTGTTGTAAATATACAAGAAACTGGTGAAACTACATTTTGTGTTCCTTATGTTTGTGATGTAGTTTATACCTTAATGTTTTCTTATCTCTTTCTCACTGCATAAATTTGAATATTTATATTACGACATTGGGAAAGAGATATGAATCAGTTTAATTTTCGCAACTGGAATTTGTGGGCAAGTAAAACTATTCATGCATTAGTAATTTTAATAAAAAATGAATTTGTTATATTTACATAATTGATAAATTATATATAGAGCTTCAATTAAAATCATATAATTTAATATATTAGAAAGAGATAAAAATTTCGGATAAAAATTAGTTTCGGTGAAACGTAAATTACACTACTTAGGATTATTTTGAATTAATACTTCATATTATGTACTTCTAGTTTAAGCTCATTTTAACTCGCATTTAAGAGCCCACATAGAATAATGTATTTTCATTGAAAATTCAGATAAACTAATGTATCAAATAGTATGCAATACATTGATGTCATGTTAAGAATTATTTCATGAGGTATGTCCTTAAATCAATAATTCGTTCAACAAATGTCATTGTACACTTAACTAGGGTTTATCGATTTATAATAATTGATTTATTTACTTAATAATTTATAATTTATATTATTTGGAAAATGAGTTTGTGTTCCAATCGGTCGTAACCTTAAAGTCGCGAAACGAAAAGTCGAGATGTGCTGACGTCACAGATTCAGTTGTTAGTCCTGTATTATTTTTAATAATGGAAGGTATTGGCACGGCCCTCAACACTATTTACCCTATACCACAAATGATGTGGGCTTCTCAAGTTTCAGTTAGCCATAATTCTACGCAAACTGACACCGATTCTCGTTGCCCGTGCATGTTTTATATGCGCCCTAGGCAGTCAAATGTTTTATCGCCCTTTTGTTAATTTGCTTTTTTTACATAAAGCGATTTATATTTTGAATAAAAACTGTGGTACGATATCCGAAACCGATGTAATTAGTGTACGTAGAAATAATTGATAGTACGTATGCATATAAATAATACTCACCACGATATTTATTTATTAAATATAAATATTTAATTGATATTTCTGTATCAATGATAATTCAGTATCTAATCTGATTAATACTAAAATTCTAACTAATAATAATATTCTGACTAATTAACACTTTTTGTTACAAATTTGGAAAGAAATATTCATATAAAATAACATTCAGAAGTTCGCCTTACGGAATTTTGTATCGGCTGAAATTCGTCCGGCCCAGTCTGCAGCCTACTCAGCCTGTTCGGTAATCTGGCACTGCTCGCTGCACGTTTCCATTCCATTCCTTCAGTCACAATTGTACGTGTTGCATCTACGTACAATAAAGCAATGTGGTGGACTTCGAGCAAGCATAAAAGAATTAACAGTGCACTCACCAACATAAAAGAAAAAGTATTAAGAGGCACCAAGCCCACTAATAATGAATGTAAAATATTAATGTTAATGAAAAGAGGTTAGTCAAAAAGTTTCATTGTTTCATTATTGATGAAATTCGTCAATTATACATTTCAACCAGTATCATGAGATAACTGCTTTGCTGCAAAGCAACAAAAATTCAAGCAGGGGTCATTAAAAATAAAAGCACACTTTTATTCAAACTTACGTGTTTCGTATTCTTTCACTCCAGTCCCAGAATTACATAAATGCACGGCCACCGTATCGCACAACCGATTTACCTCTTGCCGGCCTCTCCTCTGCCCCGCTTCACAGGCGGCGCTGCGGGGGCCGGGCAGACACTGGCGGGGCGCGCTTCTCGCAGCCCGCTTTTCATGAAACGCCGGCGATCGACGCGAGGTGGATTTCGGCTGTTACGCCGCACGGGCCGCCGAGCGCCGTCAGGCGACAGGCGCAGCTAGTTCGCAGGCATCTGTCCCTCCAACACAAACGGGCGCACGTCACACTATCTTCTAGGAGTATGCTACTTTTTTGCTCGTCGGTTTTCCGCAATTGTTTCTCAATTTTTCCCAGCAAAATATAAACTGTTTTAAACGGTTCCCAAGTTAACACTATCACACAGAAACTTCTCAAAATACGATGATGGTGTTTCAAGATAAACTGCATGTTTTCACCAAATTCTTAAGCATTAATCAGTCAAGAAGACGCGCGACTAATGTTTCCTTTTCGAAATTAGCTGAGATAAATAACGAAAAATGTTGTCGAACTGAAATTATATTTGAAGCTTTGAATAATTCAGGACATATTACACAGCCGCCATTCCAGTTTCGCAGATGTATGAGAGCGAATATTGAACCGAGCGCGTCTACTATAATTAGGTCATTAGTTCCGAAAGCGTAGTGCGCGTTATACCGCGGCATGTTATCATGTACAGGAAAGTACGAACCGTCGTCGGTCTACTCGTTGGCTCGTTTTCTGTAGTAATCTCCCCAAGCGGAGCACCGTCGACGCCACCTCTCACAGCGTTACGCTCCCGTCAATATATATTATAATCACGGACTTGTGCACAATATGTAACTATTATATTAATTTACGAATAATTTCAATTTGTCTACAAATTCGTAAGACGTAACTATGATGTGACTGTTTATAATAATGGAATTCCAGAATGCGGCTCAAATCTACTTAACTCGTACTTCATTATAATGTATATCTATTGCATGTGTATCTAAGTGTACGAGTACGTTTATGTATATGTAGGGTAAGCGTGTGTTCATGTTTTACGTGTTCGTGTGAGTGAACATTCATGTAAACGATTATGTGAGTATATGTATTTGAATGTGTATTTACATGTATGCACTAAATGTAGTAGTAATCGTAATGTCTTTGTATTGTAGATGCAGGTGTATTGTATTTCTTAGTATGCTGATGGTTACCACCTGGTAATCAGCCATTTGTATCCCAATAAATATTATTAAACGTGCTAATCCATGCGCGCTGTCGTATACGGTCAATAAGCGTCGAAGAAATATTTCAGCATGTAGGTTGACTCAAAACGATGTCGTTCAAACTCCACCATTCAAGTGAGGTGAATATGTTTATTTGAACCTACACTTTCTCAGCTGCATTTTATTTTGTGCAATCACATCACAATGCAACATACAAGCACGACTAGTTGAACTGTTTCAAATACCCATTGTCACCTTTCCGTTACGTATTCGTATAGCAACTCCCTACGCTATTAGGACTCGCGAGTATCACTTAATAATAAGCAAGAGCAATGATGTCGCAACTTACGAAGATGGGCTGGGAAGTCTAAACGTACATACAATTTGGAAAAATTTTATTTTAAAAATGGACACACGCCTCTCTCAAACTTTTCAACTGGATTATAACGTCATACAAAGAAAAAGGTGACCAAGAAGCTCTATCAGCAGACTCAAACTAGTTACAGAAAATTAAATTTCCACCTCGAACCTAGCGCATACGGAATCTTGAAAGGGCTCGGCCCGGCGTAGCCTGCAACATCGCGCGGTCGCAGGACTCGTTTATTGTGGTCAGCTTTGAAACGCGCGCCGAATGTGATCGAGTTTTCGAGAGTCGAAGGCGACTTACCGCGAACCTTGTTGAAAAGACATGGGTGAATAGTTCGGCGCACCTAGTCTTGCTGGTTCTGCGCAGCACCAGCTTAAGTGGAGAACCTCGTGACCACGGGCACTTCGTTTGAAAAGACAAACCTGACACTAGTCGCCATGTCGCTTTGAGAGCGAGGAGTATTGAGAAACATTGAAAACGACAAAGTGATCATTGTCAACTATGACAAACCAAAAATAAAACGATGGTGTACAAGATGCAATATTTAAAAGGAATGTTTCATATCTCTTCCATTCCTTTGAATTTCATTAAAAAATTTGTTCCTAACATTTCGTTGGCCTAGCCTTTTATTTTCAGAAGACTTCCGAAATTCCTCAGAGCCACTTGTAAACATCACCACAATGTGCCCGATAAAATATAATATATATAATAATTATGCCAGGGACGGCCTTTGATTCATTCCACGACATATCGCACAAATTTAAGGAAAATTTGACCTTGATGCCCCAGATTTTTAAACTTTTCTATGAAAAGTATAAGCAAAAGTATGAAACAATATATTATATATTATTTAATGAGAGTTTATTAATTTTCCAAATTTTTCATTAAATGTATGATAATACAAACTCAGTTAAAGCCCCCATAAAATCAGGTTACATAAAAAAAAACTACGAATTATTTCAGGCAAGTTTATACCGAGTTTTCGAAGGGCGCGTTCCACCCGGAAACCGCGAAACAACCGACATTCTCCGAACGCAGAGTTGAGTAGTAGCTTGAGCGCTTATCGCCGGCAAAGAACTGCAGTGGACAGTTGAGCAACCGAGATCAGGCGGCGAATCCTCAACTAGGTGCGCTAATATTAGTGATTCCTTGGCGATCCTTTAGTTGTGTTTCTCAGCTATTTCCTAACTAATTTTGTTAAAGGGTGCTTATGAATTTTTAATTATCTAATTCTTGAATAAAACATTTAAAATCCAATTCTAAAAAAATATTACTTTGCTTTGACATCGCCCCATCTATCGATGGTCGGACGTCTCGCCTCGTATCACTTCTGTCTTTGACCAACTAGTGCCTACCGACAAATTTCGACAGAATTGAAGTTAAATATTTATTAATCGATCAACTTAAAAACAATAGTTAACGATAAACTTCACTCCTCAGGCTCTTCGTCCTTGATCCATCGGGCAAACGCTAAGATGGACCCTTGTTTTGATTCTAAACATAAACGTAGCTTCAGTATTTGGGCGCATTTTCCTAAGCTCAGTGGAGTGTTAAGAATATAGTTTCAAATAACTCTCCTCCCCGTTCTCGTTGCAATAAGTCGATTCCACCGTGGGGGGGCAGGCAGGCCAAGAGATAAGACAGTATCGAATGTCCGAACAAGCTCGCTAGGTGGGCGCGCCTCAGGCCTCTATGCGACCTAAAAATTCAGCTCTTAAAATCAAATCAACATATTTTCTTTGTATTTTTCTCAAGATAAAATTTCTAAGCATTCCTAAAAATTAAATTGACTAATGAATAACATCTGCTATAGCACGTTTTGCTGTGGGAACTCTAGCGGTCATATTTCAGACTACGCTGTTCCGCGGATCATGGTGTAGAAGAGCCTAGAACAGATCAGTAACTTCTATAAGAATGATTTATTACCCATACTAAGTACATTGAAGTTCAATTTTACAAACAGTCCCTAAAATGCAACTTAAGAAGTGTGCCAACATTTTGTAATATAGCTATTTTTGAGACTATAACTGATCCTATTTAACATTAATTGGGAGGCTTTATAACTGCTGAACCGCTGATAATTGGAGATGATTCTGGTGGAAGAAACCTCCTTTGCACAAGCAAAGAATTTACAACCTTGTATGGTTTACAGTGTTCCTGATAAATTCCTAAAGAGCATTCCTGAGAAATTCAGCAACAAAATATTTCAAGACGATAGAAAGCATAAGATTGCAATCATTACACATGCAAGTAAATTGATGCATTGTAATTATATTTTTACAATTACACAAAAATTTATTAAGGTTTTTCTTATTAAAATTCACTTGTCTCCATTTTTTGGATTTAATTTTAAATAGGAAATTTCTTTGGTCAAGATTCTTTCACAGGAAGTTAGCAACTCCAAAGCCCATATATAAGGCTGGCCTTACATTAGCAATACGTTTCCGCAATATCTTTCAGCAATTTGTTTGCGCTTCTTGCGGTCATCTTTACACTAGCAAGAGCAATATATTGTCAGAAAGATCTGAGCAAGATCTTTCCTGCAAGATATTGCCGATCGCTTTACATTAGGACCATTTGTTGCCGTGTTTGGGGACGGCGCGAGGGAAATGGCGCATGAAATTAAGCGAGGTTATACCTCACTCACTTCCCGACAAAACTTGTGGAAGGCAAAAAATGCGAGTTGCGGTCGCACTTATTGTGCTAAATGGTGTGATGAAGTAACGCCGACGATTTGTGAGGACATGTGACTGAGTTTTAAGAAGGAAAAGGGGGCTTGTGCGAATTAGGTAGAAGTGTCGGAATATTTCTGGAAACAAAATTATTTCGTGGAATTCGATTCCCGTAGGAGCAAAGTAATTGTCTTTTAATAAAAAGTGCATTTACTAATTGGGTAAAAAGGTATAAAACATCCATTTCCTACTACAGATGTGTTTAAAGAGTAATCTTAAAATTGATTTAGATTAGATTAATATCTTAATAATTTTTAACGTACAAAATTAATAATCAGGGGGCATCTATAACTGAACCAAAATTTGGACGTTTGATAATCAACCAAGGTATTATTTATTACTCCTTTTATTGTCTTAAACCTTTTTCATACACCCATTTTACGAAAAAATGCATGTTAAAATGGAAATACTACGTCTATGTACTACCGTACATACTTCCTGCGCATGTGACAGTCCGTCAACATTGACTTCTTCCAGCAATATATTGCTCATACCTCATTCCAATTCTAGTCCCAGCTACAGCCGGCAATATCTTTCCGAGGGTGGAAACACACGGGTTTACATTACGACCGGAATATCTAGCAAGAAATATTGCCAACATCATAAATATTTATTGCCGTGATGTTTACATTGGCAACTTTTCTTGCGAAATAATATTGCTCGCCATTTTCTTGCAAGTGTAAAGCCAGCTTAAGAAACAAGTGAAGGAGGAAACTATTCTTTTGACAAATTTTCACTTTCCTGTGTGAATGGAACTATATTAAGATGAGTTCACGTTATTTTAAGAGAACAAGAATTGCTTCTGGTCAGATTAAGTGAAAAACTCACAGTAACAAACAACCAAAGCTGTTCTTAGTGCGGTTGATTAAAATACTGCAATGACACAGTAACACTGTCCCAAACAATTCAGGTGACCAAGAATTCTTATTTAACCTTCTAACATTCTAGGCATACTGCACATGCATATAAGGTGATTAGGGTCTTAGCTGTAAAGACGCTAACGCATTGTAGGCTGGTTTGCCAAAGTTTGGTCATCCTATCGTGTCCTGGGCTGGAATGCCACATCAACTTGTGTGGTCAAATAATTGGTGCAACTATTTCACTTTTCTCTCTTGAGAAGAACTTTGTTGAGTTTGCATAATAACCAAATAAAGATAAAGTATTATTTGAATCATAACACCTCCATTAAAGCTTTTTAATTTTTGAAGTTACTTTTATGTGCAATATGTTTACTTTACTTGATGTTACTGTTATGTGACATGAAATAACAGACACGACTTAAAAACTTAATTCGTTATTAAGCTGCTCGAAGTAAGTTCGAAATCTGACTGATGTACAAGAATGTTTTCATGGATTTATAATCAGAGTTGAAAACTAAGAACTGTTTGGTACAGTCCCTACAGAAAATCATTAAAAAAACAATTTAAAAGGGGCAAAATAATGAGTGTTGTATTTTTTTCCTTATAACAGTAAGACAAGTTCAAATGTTAAACAGACTTAGAAAATGTTTCCCCCCAATTGCATCATATAAACTAATAGGTGTACCCAGAACAGTTAAACCAGGGTAATTCCATTATGCAATGATACCACAGACTAAGGAGGTATTATTACTCTATGATGAACCTAGTAATTAAAAGTAAAGTCTATATTTTCAAACACGTTTCACTCCTTTAGAGAGCTTTCCATTACAAGTATCAAATATCTGTGCATTAGCATTGCTGCAGCTATAACTCCTAATATTAAACTCTGATATTAAAAGATCTCAAAAAGAACTGAATAATAGAATTCGAGGGAGATAAAAAAAAAACAACTCTCAAGCACATCAAATCCAGAATACAAATAATGATAAAATATCTTTGACACAAAAAGGCAAGGCATTAGGAACACCATTAAAAAATGAAAGTAAAAAAAATTGGTTGCACAGTAGGCAAAACAGTAAACGTGCAATTTACATTATTTTAATAGCTGAAGTTAATGTTATCTACAATTAAACAATACAAATTTTCCAAATCAAGTATAGTAAAATATCGTCAATTTTTAGTTTACTTATTGTTTAGTTGAATTTGCACTCAAAGGTATTGCAAATATCATGAAAAATAAAAACTGAGTATTGTATCGCCAATTTTTGAAATCTATGTATTAAACAAAGGGTATTTTTTGTTGTTTTCGACTATTTACAAAAGCAATGTGTTAACATTCCATAGATTTCTTTCAATATCGTGCATTGTAAGCGCAGTGCCAACTACGCTATCAGACAAATCTGAATTAGTTCCCAAGTATACAAAAAAGAAGTTATTCACCAAAGTACATTCACCCATTTTTTACCACTATCCAATTTATAAGACAGTGCACTTTACATTTTTTTGATCTTCAAATTTTGTTCATTTTTCATCAATTGTCCATGTATGCTGTTTTTAACAGTTCTAATCTGTCTAAATTATAATTGAATATTTTTTAGCGTACTTAATAATTATTTCTGAATTTTCAGTTTTTCTTACTCAACGTAAGCTTTCATAGAACATGTGTTTCATCAATAAAATGAAACACCAACACTTTCATTCAAATGATGAATCAAGTATCAATTACTGTAGTTTTTTGTGTGTTCACACATTTATTTCCCAATATTTTATTTCATCAGAGAAATTTGCAAGAAAAATCAGGTGTTCTATAAATATGGCAGTAAAAACAAGTATCAATGATGGCGACATACTTTAAAACATTTCTAACAAATTTCTTGCTCATTATTTCGATTAGGAAATACAAATGGGAGCTATTAATGCCTACACAAGACATATTGGGACCAGACATTCTTATAAGCATGTTACGAGTTAATTTTCAGAAAGCCAGAGCAATAAACATTGATTTGTTAAGACACAAGAAAAACAAACGTTTGCACATGTTGGCACCCACACCAGTGAAAACTACTAAAACCATTACTATTCGTTTGTAACATTTGTTTGTACCAATCCACTTACAAGGTAGAGCACTTTCAATTATGGTGGTGCCAATTCCACACCTTTGTAAGAAAATTTGGAATCCTTCAAATAGTTGACCGAACTGCTGCAACAAAATTTTCTTTTGTACCAAAGAAATTAAGATACAGCCCTTATAACTTTATGCTGGCTCTGCCACCACCGTAAAAAAATTGGAACCATCCTAAATCACCTGTATCAGATTTTTCCACCACAATTTTCCATTTGTACTAAAAATAGCCATTTAAAGTAGGGATGGGAGCCTCATGCTAACTAACACAAGCCCTGTCACCACCCCCACCAACAAAATGTAAATTGTCTGTACCAGAATGTTCCATCAGAACTTTCATTTATATAAAAAATTTAATATCTTACACCATTTCAAGAAAATAAATAAATCAACATTTGAAAGGAATTTTTATGTACAAACTAATATTTCTAGAAAACTTGACGTGACACCCCCTCCTGCCACACACACATACATGTATTTATAGGACAAGAAAATTTCTAATTTAAGTTCAAAAATTCATAAATTTTTTTTCAGAAGAGCCTATTTTTATGGCATTGCAATGAAAAATAACCATTTAAGCACATGAGAAAAAAAATTGGTGAAAATTGAGTTAATTCCAAATTTAATTCAATTATCTTCACTTTTATGCTGAAATCATTTATCACTTCCAACCAACTAGAGGTTTCTATCAAACTTATCTGTTTTTGTCCCAGTACAAAAAGTTTCAAGGAAAAATAAGGTTTCTTAAATAGGTACATACAAATTCAATTCAACTCATCAAGATAATTTTATTCATTTGGATTACAGAACTAAACTTAAATCCCTAAAAAAAGTAGTGCTTTAACTCTTGAGAAAAAAATCTAAAGAGGCTACAGAAAGTTGCCAACAATTTCATTTATGCACCTTCATTTCAAATTAACAAGTTCAAATGACAGTCAAGAGTATGTATAGCTTGATTAACAATATCTAAACCATACAGTGATTTTTTTTCATTTTCTTCTCTAAACAAGCAGCAGCAACAGGCAGAGGAAGGGCATGTTAATTTAAGGTGATAATGCAAGGAACATTCAAGGAGAACAGGAACTTGGGGACGGGGATCAGACAAGCTTTCGCACGTTAGTAGGGCTGATACTGTCTCGAACTGTCATGGCACACAGTTTTAGCTGTCATCCTTCACATACACACACACACACACTAGCATACATATGTTCACGTTTCGTCTAGGTACACAACATTATTTCATAGCTTACAAGTCAGTCAAGTGTCGTTGGCAACTAATCGATCCTCATCTCCTGCCATCCTAAGGAAATGACCATACACACACATTCATACTATACAAACGTACTCATGCATTCTATACACGTAGGCTCATTGATACAAGGCAATTAACATACAACCCATGCCTTTGGAAGTATATCATTCGGACTTCGGCTGGCATGGTATAAATCACAGGCACACAGGGACGCAAATATCACACATCAGTCAGGAAAAGATGAGGTGGTCCATGCTAAACAGGAGTATCCTATACTACAGGTTAGTACAATGTAATTCACTGCCAAAAACAATCTCCTGATACCTGAACAGACAGACCTCTTTCCAAACCTTTTCTCACCTGACACATTCACACTAGTAATTCCCAACCAATCTTTGTTTTAGTTATTATCGTAACAGCAAAAACACACTGTCCATATGGCATAGACATTACACCGGTTTGTCATGGACCTCCTCAAATCACAGAATTTTTGTTTTTGGTTCAGGTCAGCAAGTAACCTTGGATTTGATAAGAACCTTCCGAGTGAAATTTTTACTCAGCCTTATGTCACCTTGGAACAGGAAGAATATTTCTTCCAAACACTTCACTCTAAACCTCCATAAAGATGAAACCTTGTTAGGGACAGTGAATACCACTGTCCTAATGAGCTTTATCTGAACACAAAATTGAAATTGAAATATCATACAAAAATATACAATCAAGTATTTTACGAGTACAAGGTTTCACATAATTATACACATCCACATAATGTGTTGGAAGCTAGTGGTACTTACCCTCACAGTTCAAACCAAGGCTTTGAACTGACCTGTCCTTTAAAACTGGGCTTAGGATTTGTTACTTCTAAAATTGTAGAAATGTGGTCAAATGCTCAGTGCCACAAAGAAATCAATTTTAGCTGTAACAAATACCATTCTCCCAATTGGGATTAAGCCATTGGAAACAAATATTCACACCATCTTCTGGTTTCTAAAGGCACTTCAATCATTGGAAATTTCAATATCTGAAATAAACATTTAGTACTGGTAACAGAGTGAAGTGCCTTCACAGAGTCAACATTTACCCAGAGCACTTCACCACTTGGTAACAAATTTGACCAGTAAGATATGTCAGTTGCACTGCAACATACAACTCCTTCCCTCTGCTGGAAAACACTTGATTTCCTTTTTTAAAAGTTCAATACAATTTCCTGAGCAAGAAAAACACATTTTGTCGAATGTGCAGAGGAGGAAAATTGACGTGCGTCGAATCAAAAATTTTTGTAAGGCGTTTGGCAAGTCTTTTCTTTCATGTATTTTCTATTTCTTGGTGAATTGGAATTTGCCACATGTGATCCACACGCATCTTCTTCCATCCCTCCTCACATCGCATAACATCCGGTCGAGTTGAGTCGGTCGGTCCGAAGTCTTCAAGCACACTCGCTCGCCCTGCCAGGTGCGTCCCTTACACACCAGCAGCCAGACACACGCTCGTTCGTTCGCACATACTTGATTTCCAGTTACTGTGCACACTGAATTTTTTTTAGTGAACTATTCTGCTTTGATTTCTTATATTCTTTCATTATTTGGAATCAATCGCTCGCACTGTTGCACTGCCTCTTTCACCCTGGACGAGCCTTCAGAGTGGAGTGGGGATTTGCAGACAACCAAAAGTAGGAATAATATTGAGAAAGTGTTTCGTCCGATCATCTTCAACTGGATAATTACAATACGAGTCGGATCTGCAAAGGGAAAATTTGAAATTTGAGCTCTAAAATTGCAATAAAAAAAGACAAAATGCAGACCTATGAAATAAACAATTTAAAGAAATTGTTTAAGATTTATTTATATTAATATGAAATTTTGGATTTTCTGTTTTTTTAATGTCTCTCCTCACACCACTTTCTCTTCTGCCTATCCACTCCCTGCAGGCCACACCCTTTCTTTCTCAGACCATCACAACACAACGGACACAAAAACACTACTAATTTAAAACATTTAACTTTCAACGTCTAAAAATATACAGAAACCATTCTCTCCTGAACCCACATTCTTTAATTCAATTAAATACATTTGCATACTAAATATTAAGTACTGCTGTTGGGAAGAAGAGCAGTGTAAAAATTGTTATCAACAACTGTTACAGAGACTTCTTCCAATCCAGCCACACATTCACACTCCTTTGATCCTGAAGTCTTTCAATAAAAGCCCATACAGACCAACCAAAACTAGGGTCTTACTGAAATGGATCAAGGAATTGTAAATGGAATTCAAAGATTAAAACAGTGGAAAGAGTGGTGACACTCAACTTATGGAAGGCAGGTGGTGAAAAAGAAGAGACCAGAGAAAAACAGTGCAAGCCAATCATCACACAATTTCAAGTATTCAAGTCTTTCATCTTCAAAAATCATTTGTAAATACATAAAATTGGCTATGCCACACAACCAAATTTAGGGAATGTTATATCCACAATTTTAGGAAGATAAAAAGAACAAAACTAATTTCAATATTTACTATTACGTAATAAAAATGAAACTTACCAGCTAGAAGCAGACTGCCTAAGCTTGCGAATTTCCTTGCTTGCCCATGTAGCAACAGTTTTAGTTTTAGAAGCTCTTGAACGTCTACCTTGTTGAAGGAGGTCATTAATAGGTTCTACATCCAACAGAGGCAACATTCTTGAACCAAATGCTGTGCACAAATCACTAAAACAAAAATACACATGACATCATAAATATCTACATAAATTAACGGTAATGAAAATACTAATGTAATGGGAATGGGTAATGGTAAAGAAAATGCTAATATACTAACCCAACAAGCCCAGAACATGATGTAATATTACTATCAGATTTCTCAGTATCTTGTGCTACAATTGTAATAAACTGGACTATGAATGGTATATGAGGTTCCAGCACAAGAACCTCTGCACTAGGAGTATTCCCATCTCCTTTTAGACCCTGCACAATACCGGTGTATGCCTCCAGTACACCTTCTCGAAGCTCATTAAGATAGTCAATCATATCATAATCATTCTGCAAAATAAGAAACACAAATTAAGTTAAGACAAAATTCCTTTTCTATGGAGACACAAAACTCTTTCAAAAAATACAAAAACTGCTTCATACTAAGTGATCTAGAACTACATAAATTACAAGTCACACAGCTTACAGTCTTTAATTGCTCAACCCAATATTTTTCAACGACTTATTGAGCAGGTTAATTCCATTTTAAATGAAAGCCATTTGATATTTGAATAAGCCTGACAAAATGAATCAAACCAGCCTGATAAATAATAATTTTCTTAATTTTTTTTTTGTATCTTTCAACACAATTTCAAAAACAATATACAATAATGTTTCCAAATATAATAATGTATAAAACAAGTGAGATATTTAAAAAAATACTTTTTTGTAATTTTGAAAAAATAAAAAGAATAAATAAAAATAGCAGTTTCCAAAATGTTTTCACATTTTATTGGGCATATACCCTCTAATAAACAGTTCTAAATTTTCATGACACAAACTAAGCTATGGCATTTTCAAATACTGTGACCTCAAAGCCTTTCCCCCAAAACCAAACTAGAAGGTTTATTTTTCTTCAAAAAAGAAAATGCAAGTCTAATTGCGCAGAAAATTAGTGGTGCTACAAATGGCATCAACTTTTCGTACTAGTTAGGTTTCTAATTTCTTTGGTCTGGGATAGCTCCCCGGTCTTGTCACACACTCAACCCAAAAAGTGCCTTTTTTAAAATGTTCTCAATTTCTATATTTCCTCATAATAGAACAGAAATATTGCTTTAAGAATCTTATAGAAAAAGTAAAAAGTCATCCTGCAAAGAAATTGTTGAAAAATTTGGAGCCATTTTTATGAAAATGTCATTTAAGCATTACGTAAACGTAAAATTTGAAGCTATTTCACAGAAAACTTTTGAGTTTTCAAAAAACTTCATTAGAAGTCATTTGAAGCACTTCCATTCACAGATACAATAATATATACGAGTATTGAAAATATGCATATTAAAAGCAATTCCAAAAATGCTACACAAGTGTAATTTTTGAAACAACAAAACAATATGAATGATTTAGTGTCATCATAAGAGCGCATTTAGCCCTACATGTATGGAAAGTTTGAAGAAAAATTTTGGAGAAGTTTTTACAAAAATAGCGTTTAAACATTTCTGAAAACACGCAACTTGGAGATCATTTTAACAAAACATTTTAATTTTAGAGAAATTTGCAATAATGACAACAAAACACTGCTATTGTAAATCTTACCAATGTCAAAAAATTTTTTTTTCTTTGAAAAAGAAAAGTGCTATGTGGTATTTTTTTTTTATAATCAGTACATTTAGCACTATCCCTACCAAAATTAACTTAAAGATATTTCAAGAAAATCTTGTTTATGCTATTTTGTAATATTGCACAAAAACTGCTAAAATTATCCCCAAAAATGGATATTGATTTAATGAAATAACTAACATTCAAGATTAAATTTTACTTCAAGGAAAAATAAATGTAATAGTAGGAATACATAGAAAAAATTTCAAATTTGTGAAATTTTCGAAAAGTCAAGAGGTAATAATGAGAAACTGACCTATGCCATCTTTAAAAGTAAAAAAAATTAAAAGATAAATTTTGGTGACAGAAAATTTTGAAATGTTCCTGGGGTTTCATATAAAGTCCCAGCAAATTTTAAAGAATGCTTTTCAAATTCTCGATGCTTTGAGTCATGCCAGATCGACCAGAGAATATCAATTTTGTAAAAAAATCCTATGTCCGGCTTAGGTGCTAGCGGTTTTCAGACAGGGCAGACGTTAAAAAAAACTTTCGGAATCAGAGGACCCTAAAATTTATTTGTGTTGATATCTTGAAATTGACTTCCCGCACCATTTCATAACTTTCTCCATACTATGTATATTACTCCGTAAATACATACATATACAAGTACATAAAAATATGTAAATTAATATTCTACTAGTAAACTACAGTACTTCTTAGTCACTGACAGTGCAGCACTTTCTGAACATGCACTAGTTCTAATCATGCTATTTCACTTGCATTATTAAAACATGAAGCTAGAGCAGAGCAACAATTAATCACTGTTGTTTCTACACAGAGCAGAAAGTACTTTTCGCGTGGTCAAGAGCTGTTCGTGGTCATTCAAATATCAATGCAATGACTATTTACCGCCCGCAATGTATATACTCTTTGAATGCTATGCAGGTTGGCAAATGTGCATGAAGTCCCAGCTGACATGAGGTATGTGAAGATTTGGTAAAAAAAAAAACGTGAATATAACATTCAAAAGGTGAAATAATATTGTGCTTTATTTTTTTATTTGCTCCACCATTGCAACGCGTCTCTTAACCTTACTTAGGCATAGAGTGTATCTGGAATAATCGTCCGTTAAGCTTTTGTTATGTTTTGACATGTGGCAGCGAGTGCCTTTTATCGGCCAGGAGCTAATAACTGGGATTCCCAGACGGTCACCCGTGAAGGGAACCGCAGTGTCTTGAGTTACTGAACTTCCGTGACTTCACTAAGCTTAGTTAAGCAATTTGGCCAACAAGAAACACAAGAAACGACGGCAAATTCGTATGGGATACACCTTTCATCAGTTAGCATTGTTGACACTGCTAGCAAAAAAATAAAAATGGATAGGAAAATATATTATATTTTGAATTCACAACGGGAGACTGTTGCCAAATTACACAAAAGAATATTAATTTTCAAAAAATTCAACGTGATCTTATTTGAAGATGTTTTTATGAACACATTTCATTAAGAAAAAAATTGTATCTTCATAATTATAGTCGTAAGAAGGCACTGAAAATGTTTTCGAATATTTTCAATTTTTTCTTCTTTAATTTTAAGAATAGGGTTTTCAAGCAACATTACATCTACATCATTCTCTTAAGCGTGGTTCAGACTATCCAACAATAAAATATAATGAAAAACAATAGAGCAGCTTTTGAGAGAAAAAAATTAAAAATTGCCTATAGTTAATGCAAAATTACGAACAATTGTACACGACCCGATTTCAATATCCATAAAGAACATATTTTACTAAGGGTAAAGTTTTCCATGTTTAATATTTTTTTGTACAAAGACACCGAAAAATTTGAGTTTGTGCAATTACTGAAAAATAATGTGTTCAACGAAAACTAACCCTGCACCATTCCTCAAAACGTCCTCCACAGTAAGCAAAAACAAAATTTAATAAAAAATGATGGAGTCATTTATCAGGAAGTGTCCTAGGGGCTTCATGTACAGTATTAAATTAAAATTAATACTAAAATTAAAATATCGATTTCAAATTCAAGAGACTGTGACATCAGCCAGATCGATTGGGGAATATCAATTTTGGAGAAAATCAGCTTAACAGTTTAGCAGCTAGCGTTGATCAGACAAACTCTCTATCTTCAATCAATTTTGTGGTATCAAGAAGCCCCAAAACAGATTCTGGCTAATCCACGTGTTACTTTTTTTTTTTTTTTAATTTAGCATATTGATCTACCTTTTCATTGCTAGAGCCCTGTTATAAAAGTTTTTCTGCTGATTAGAGAATACGGGCACATCAACTGCTAAAGTCATTAGTTCCATAGGTGTAATGCACGTTGGTTATCCTCTGGAGGTGGTGATCTTTCACCCGCTGATGGTGAGATCCGGCGCCGATCTACCCATCGACTAGCAGCAGAATCTTACTGTTGGGCCCTCATAACGAAAAAGTAGAAAAACCTTGTCTGCATGTACTTTTATTACTTCCTCTAAAATGTGTAGTCAGAATTAATGTTTTCTGTGACCTTGATACCGAGAAATTGGCCAAACCTCTCTCAGTCGGTTTCCACAAACTCATTCCCACCAACGGAGCACCGCCTCAGCCGTTTCAAACTAAGCTGCCGACTGGTCTCTTGGCGCATGTGGGGCACATGTATGAAAAAGGGAGAGAATAGGACAAGGAAGAAGGATAAGATGGCACGTTGGCCCGTTAGTTAGGGTACTGCTCTGGCATTAAACTGGTATTAATGGTCGAAACCACGGAAAACTACAGGTTAGAGCAGTCTGCTGCTAGAATTCTTCTCTAGACAGCAGCTGAATTCGACCTAGATATCTAGTTTGTGTCGAAAATAATGCCACCTAAAGGGAATTCAATATTGACATTTTCTCACTTGAAGTTATTTCATAAGCAGATCAATTATCAACCAACTGAAATTTCTTTTCATATGTCTTTGTCCACTTCAAGAAGCCAATCTAAAAAGTTCTTCGGTCATCCTTGCTTTCTTATTGGCTGTATATTTTACTGGCAGGGAATCCATACCTTTGAAACATCTAGGGTTCATGTAATGTCCTACAACAGGCATCCATTTTGCAGTACCGGTGGCATTACAATAAAGTAATGTTGTCCCACTTCTTTTGACCTATGCACTTCTCTCCCCCCGGGAAGGCTTTCATTCAGCAACATTTGATAATAATAATAATAATAATAATAATAAAAAACACACACACACACTTCCATCCGCATTGAAAATAACTTTGGGATCATACTTTTCAATTAGATTTTTCAGGTGTTCCGTCACTCTTGAGCAGCATTAAGGTCAGCATCTTAAGCTTCCCCACCAACACTCTTCCTATAAATCCATATCGCTCTCTAAAATGAAACAGCCAGCCAGCACTTGCCAGAAAACTCTTAACAGGATGCAAATAGACTTGCTTCTCTGTATCATTGGTTCAGAAATAGGACTGCCCTAGCTTCGTTAAACGACATGTCTACTGCCTCTTCCACTTTATGAAACTACCCTAAACAAATCTTCTATGAGGGTATTATGCCAATTGTTTATAAATTCTTAGAATTTCCTCTTTGCTTTTAAAAATTGTTGATACTGAAATAGGCTTGTCTCATACCCCCGTGCTACCTGGTTTATGGATTTTGTTATTAATCTCCACTTTCTTTTCTATTGCGAACTGTCTTTCTTACTTTACATTGCAATCAAATCGGGTCATATCTTTACAAATATTACTACTAACCACCATTA